CGGGACACCAAAATGTTTCGTTTTCTTAAAACATCGTTCCAATAAGATTCGCTTTGTTTTTACAGATGCATCTTCATACAGAACCCCACTACCATAATTTGATGGCTGTGATGTTGCTGTCATGCCAAATGTATGCAATATTACCACGTCGATATGATTGATGTGAGGGTGTTAGAAGTGTCAGGATGTGTTTGTCTGTGATGACACAGTGTTCTCACAGAGTTTAACCGAAACCTGCTTTGGTTAGTATAATATAGATGCCCAAAATTGTAACCAGACAAGCAGACACACTGGTTGGGCATTTATAGGACTCATTAGAACATTAAAAATGTTTAGGCCTATTCACCTTTAGTTTAGAAACTTATTACCCTGTCATTTTTGGAAATGTTTAATATAATAAATGTGATCCCACAGCAAGCCTCTCAGCTCAGTTCATGAAAGACATTAGGGAATAAGAATTATTTTTATATGAAGATGAACTAATGATAAACTATTTCAGTCTTGCTGTACTTAAAAATAAGATGCTTTTAGACGTTTTGATATTAGACTCACCTGTAACCTTATTTGAAACTTCTTTTTCCATATAGCCTTCTCTTATCCGAAGGTGGCTGTCATCTGGGATGTAGCACCGTGTAGTGTAGTAAATGTCGGCCGACGTTTCAGAGGAGCTATCTACTAGACTACACGGAGACAGCCATCTTTCATACTGGTCGCCTTGAGAACCTCAGACGTCACATACATTCATATGCTTTAAAATGCTAATATTGCTAATATAAAGGAACATATTTCTTGAACGCTATTGAAGATGCATCTTGATCTGAGAAACGTACGAAAGAAACTGAGTATCATGACGAGAGGGACAGCTTTCTCCTGAAGAAATAGAATGCTTATTTTACAAGTCCCCTAAATAAGCCTACTATATGAAAGCTCTGTACATACATACAGCTTTATTACATTCCATGAATCTATAAGTTAGTCAGACGACAATAGAATGTGGAGTAAGTCGTAAAGAAACAATACACATATTACAAGTACAATTCATACTATTATAAAATTTCACATCTTAGGATCAAGCGATATATTGCAATGCTGCCAACCCAAATAGATAAAATATACTACCCATTTAAATTACACGAAGACAAGAAAATTATAACGGATATTACGTAAGTGTCTCTACTGCAGAATTCAAACTTATAACGTGTTTATAACCAGAAATGACGATATGAATATCATTAATTATTGTAGACTGAATTCAGAGATCATAACCGTTCATTCAATCCGGACTCCCTGGAGTCTCCTGCCATGTCGTTACAGGTCCCGCTGATAGACAGCTTCCGCATTATATTTTCAGGCACTTTTCCAATGTTTAGACCCTGAACTATGGCAGCTATTTAGGGTTGTATTATGTTGCAACGGAAGAAAATAATCTGAATATTATTAAAATAACAACTGGAAATTATACAAAATCACCAGCGTGAAATTGTATATAATCGCCGGTTTTTATTAATAATTTTTGGTTAATCACAAAACCATAACACTTATATGTGTTATTCCAAGTCCTCTGACACCATTACTACGTTCATGAGCCATCACTGTGTATTCTGTTCAAAAATCAAATTACTGTGTACTCGATGTGTCGAGTTTATCTCTGTCACTTTATTTGTTTATCTCATCTGATTTTTCAACATTTCCACTCTAACATTTGTACGCCACTCTACAGTAAGACACCGGACGTCGTATTTGAGTGGTTATCACACCTTTGTATTCGGAAGGTCCAACACCAGTTTGGGTTTAATGAATTCTTCTGGGGCTACCAGCCGTGTCAGGTGGCTGAGGACGAGAACCAAGATGGTTCTCGAAACGTTGGTGTTTTCTCCATTAAATCATCTGACATGGCTGGTAGCCCCAGAAGAATTAATTATATTTAGTCGCCGTGAAAGCTTCAGATCATACATCACCTTGGGATTAATCATTCTCTACAGGACAATGAGAGGACATTAAAAATAAGCAACGACCGCGTATCGATCGTGGTCTTCTGGGTTGTGACACCGTATGGTCTCGTAAGTTGTTATTAACGTTTTAGTGAAATGTTTCGTCTTAATCTTCACTTCATCCTGAAAATGTCTGTAACAACTACAAGATGACAACGCATTACAACAAAGAAGATATCGATCGATTTCTGAACGACGTGAGAACCTCAAATCTCGTTTCCTTCCCCCTTCATCATATAAAACAATTATTCTTAATGAATATATAGCTAAAAATTGTCACTAAATATCTCAAAATCAATTCACGGGAATGTGCAGTCGCATTTTAGCAGTAATAGAAGTGCTGACATAATCGGCTAATTGTCTCGCACAGACTTTTTAATGTTTCATAATTGAAGAGATAAGTTTAAAATAAAATGGAACATTGGAGAGGGAATACTTCTCATTAGGGAATATATCGAAATCCGGAAGGTTTTAAATTTAATAAGAAACAACTCTCTAAAACAAATGTTCTTTCTGTACTCAGTCATATTCTACCATTACGTATATCACTTAACTGGTGTTGTGTGAAAGGAAGCTGGTTTGACGTATGTAAGGTTCTGACGTGGCATTAGCCTAGGAGACTGATGACAATCACAAAAGTTCCTAGTCATAATAGCGAATGAAAGTGTCAAGAAAAGAACCTACAAATTACGAAGCAATGGTGCTCATCATTTAACAGCGAAGTGTTTTTGCAAGTAATAATAATAATATAACAAACAAGATATTACGCGTTTCGGTGTAAGCCATGATCGCCAGTGCGAGTAGAGGAATAACTGGTGTACCTTTTTATATGGACGATGAACTGATTGGGATCAAATCTCGCCTCGCTGCTCTCCATGTCAACTCAGCGGGAATGATCACAGGAACTCTGACGCGGGTAATCGCAGCCATAAATACAGTATCACGCCTGACACTTCATACATGACAGATTTTAATTTTTCCCTCACTTTGAACCCCTTTACTCTACATACAACGTTGTGTATTGTGATGGTTGGACTAGCAGAGCCGTTGCTCCGTTATAATACAGGGGGAAAACCCTGTTCCTTATTTTAATTGGTTCAACATTTGCAGGCTATATGTTCCAAACGAGCGGGCAATTCTAACTAGGCAGGTAACAATCTCATTAATCTCAATGAGCGATGTCTTCCTCGGAAGTTAAAAGTCGTTCAGCTGTTCGAGAAATTCTTCGCCTTTTATTAAAACCGGAGGTTAATCTCTACGAGAACCCGCCACTGGGGCCCATTCTGAACCGGTTGATGATCACATTTTATTCATTTAACATCGAAGTGTGTGGCGGAAAAATTGGTCATCGATGCCAGAATAGGGGAGTGTTGAGGCATAAAAGTTCAGAAAACGAACACCAACTTTTGAAAATTGGAATTTGAGGTTTTCACCGAAGATGGCTGTCTTCTGGGCCGCTGTGCCGTGTAGTCTGGTAGACGTTTACAAACAGACCTCTGAATAGTCGGTAAATTTCTACTAGATTACACGGCGCAACAGCCAACTTCTAACTTTTGAAAATTTTCGAAAATTATGTTCATTGATATTTCCAAAATTTTATAGAAGTATAACTACACAATTTGCACACAAACATCACGCTGAAATGACAGTTTTCTAAATTACAAGAAAAGTAGCAACCATACTTCGGTTGTAATTTATGGACACGTATCTTTGCCCTGGGACCGGCGAAATAAACTACGAATCAAATTGAACTCTGCAGATGGTGATTGTGTGTGAATAAATAAGTTTGTCTACGGGGTTATCTAACAATATGTCGTCGACTGGAAATGCTTCGAACAATTCATGACAACGTTTTCGATGTTGGTTTTCTAGGTTTTAACGTCATGTAGACTTGTAGAAAGCTGCCAACGTTTTTGAGGAACATACTAACTCTATCTTCAGCTCTGAAGATGCAGAAGAAATCTGTCGTGGCCTATATATAGATACTATTAATGTTTTTTGTGAATTAATAAATAAACTACAAATAAATCAGCAAACTCTCTGTTTGTTTAACTCGTCAGGCTCTTTGTTGCTAGCGGCAGTGTAGCCAACACTATACCTCGAACAGTAAATATCCTAGAAGCTGGATATTTTAACACTACTGGGGCTGTGAGTACATCACAACAATCCTCAAAGTCATTCGCGTATTTAAGGAGTGGAGTGGGCGTCCGTTTTACAGCGTGTTAATTCGAGCACAAGCAGGGATTAATACATCGATATAATGTGTCAGTATTGCAAGCATTTCGTTTTAATTCTGTGTATTATCTGTGCACTACTTTCGTAATAGGATTTATAGGCTTTGGGTTATCTCATGATATGAGCGTTTTTGGCTATGCTGGAAACACGATCACATTGGTGCTCTAACAGCCATCAGCCTTTGCCCCATTATATTAACCTCGCCGTGTTTTTAACGTGTCGTGATTGAAATCTGTTTTCGGATACATGCCCGTGAATTCTCATTTGCATCATAACACCTCTGTTGATTTCAACATATGAGCCCATTTTGTATTTCCTAGTTTTATCACATTCTGACAGATATGAAACACAATTATATTTTATTAATATTTCGAAGTACCAGTTTTAAATAATATCTTGTCTTTTGTAATCATAATTAATATAATTTTATATCTTGTATGAAAATGGAAGTATTATATTCCCATGGACATAATACAAAACTGAAACTTCATAAGAATTAAGTCTTTATGTTTTATACGTAAAATTTCATTTTTTCTTTACTTTAATAACATTTGCGCGAATATAATATTATAAATGCTTGGTATCTTAACATGTTTGGCAATTCAAAGACTCCTTCCCCACGTAAGTTCATGTTGTCCTGGTACCAAGAAATAAATTTCTTAATCTTGTTGTTACCTACGTATGTGAGAATAAAATGTCACTGCAACGTATGGAGTCTACATTTATTAAATTTTTGTCAGGTTTATTTTTTTTAAGATTTTCAGTGTAACTTACCTTGGTGCCCGAGTGAGAAGCAGAATGGGAGTCTGAAAAATAAATAGCTGTGTTAGCAGGATTACAGTGATTCGTATAACACAATGTTTAAAAAGTGACATATTCAAACGTCGTCCGATACCGAGTGTTTTGCTGTTACGTATGTCTTCTATCATTATGTTTATTTACAAAACGTAATTTTCTCACAAAAGATTGTATGTTCATACTAAATGTAAAATCTCTCTACCACTGGTTCACAAATGACAGTTGAGGCTCTGACTACATTTGAGGTTTGATGGATGGACAAATTGTGCCTTTTAGTTATTTTTAAAAATACTCAGTGTTATATCAAAATCTGAGTTAATGTGACTCAAGATGAAAAATAATCTTTATCAAAGGGATATGGGTAAATTATACATCCGTTATACTTATTGTAATGCGTACAACATTTTGGTTAAAGAACCTACAAATATGATACCGCTTAAAATACCCTTAGATATAAAGATAATATTAAAATGGATATTTGGGAATTCGGATTGAAGGGTGTTGACTGAATTTATCTGGCTCATGACAGGAACCGGCGGAAGTCTCTTGTGAACATAATAATGAAAATCTGGGCACCTTAAAAGGCGGGAAATTTCTTGACAAGCTGTGCGTAAACTGACCGATCTCAAGAAGGGCTCAGCTGCATATAATTAGTTTGGTATCTGAGTCCGTTACATTCGTTGTTTTGCCTTTATAGGTCTTTATTCCTGTATTTACCTGCATTGAAGAGAGAGAACCTGATATATCTGAGTCATAAAATTCTGTCCCTGCTGATAGTTCACCAGAAACTTGCAGATGCTAAACAATTAGAAGTTACTGTTGATACTACAATGATTGTAGATATTAGTTGTCTAAGCGAAGTTCTTAGTTTCAAATATCTGAAATGTTAACATGTATGTATTTGTGTTGAAAAAAGTATGTCCACATTTTTACTTACAAATACTATTTTGGTACAATTGAATCCGAGAGGACAACTGTTGGAGTACAGTTTGTAATTTTCGGAAGTTTTCGTTCAGTTTAAAGTCTCCTTTGCGTGAAATTAGTTCGTTATGCGAGATTGTAGCTGTAGGTTCTTATCTGTTATCTCCGAAACTACTATACTGGGTGAATTGTAATATAATTTCCTTCTAAAATTGAATTAAAATCTACGCAATCAATTTAAATTTAACATATGTCTTTGTAGCAGAAATTCTACTTTGCATACGCTCAGTCAGCCATACTCTCTCTCACAAATCATTTATCCTAAATTAGTGCATGAGATGAGGTACATCGCAATAAGATCTGGAACTTAAACTCGAAATTAACATTATTATTAACATTATATCGATTTACTTGTATTTAAAATAAATTAACATTAAATTCACTAATGAATGAAGGCTCGTGTTTTATTCATTTTCAGTCCGATCAGAAAGGAACATTTGATTACATTTGAAATAGGCCTTATCTTAATTTTACGTAACACATTCTCAGAAGATTTTTTTTTATTAATAATCGTTGTTAAAGACCAAGACCCGTTGTTGAGATGAGAAACTCATACAGAATACGAAACATTGTGGCCGAGTCTCTCTTGCATCGTGTTTTAGGTGTCTTGGGTTCAGTTCCTGGCCCGGAGTCAAACTGTCCTGACTGAGGTATATTTTGATTTTCCTCAGTGTCTCCTGGCCAATGCTGGTATAGTACCTTCATTAGGCGATGGCAGCTATCATGTGCTTTTGAATTCATTATCCATAATTCATTCTGTCATCTGACGCCATATAGTCAAAGTTACTGGCAGCGTATCACAAATAATTGGGTCGTAAAAGAAACAGATTTGATTTATCTGGCTCAGGATAGCTGGACACACAAAAGTGAATCTTACTGTTCATGAAAGGCGATCAATGTGTTAATATCATTTGAAGGACATGGAGTTAATTACTAGAAAGGAACTTGTGCCATACCTGATTTTCCTTGTGCCTGAATATATTTCTCTGTCATTTCTAATTTTAAACTATTAAATATTTGTGTTTGGATAGTAAACTCATGTTTTTGTCGTACCCCACAAATATTTACTGATTGAAAGACTGAAATTGGTTATGATCGAACATCATACATGTATTTTCGAAATTCAAAGTTGAATTCCATTTTTTTCTTTATTGTCTAGTTATTTTCTACTCGAAGGTGTATATACATAATGTTAAATTTTTAAGTACCATTACCGTTATCATTAAACTTTCTTTCCATAAATTTCTGAGCCATAATGTTGGATATTAATGTAAGTGCGCTTAGCAGATACGTAGAAACGTGTCGAGGTTCCAATAAATCTCCTGAAATATGTTGGTAAACGCTTGAATCAACGGCAACGTCGGTTCACTTAATTCTCTGGCGCAGTGTTATTCAATATTCATGACGCCACAGACCCCCCCCCCCCCA